GTTTCTAGTACAACTTGAGTACGCGGAGCAATCTGTGGAGCTGGAAGCTGAGAACTGGCGACTTTGTAGTACAACTTTAGTACGCGGAGTAGCTGGGGAGCTGGAAGATGAGAACTGGCGACTTGGTAGTACAACTTTAGTACGCAGAGTAGCTGGGGAGTGGGAAGATGAGAACTGGTGAGTGGGTAGTACAACTTGAATACGCGGAGTATCTGTGGAGCTGGAAGATGAGCACTGGCGACTTGGTAGTACAACTGTAGTACGCGGAGTAGCTGGGGAGCTGGAAGATGAGAACTGGCGACTTGGTAGTACAACTTTGGTACTCGGAGTAACTGGGGAGTGGCCAGATGAGAACTGGTGACTTGGTAGAATGACTTGGTAGTACAACTTTAGTACGCGGAGTATCTGGGGAGTGGCCAGATGAGAACTGGTGACTTGGTAGTACAATGACTTGATAGTACAATGACTTGCAGCTGAGTCATGTCTCCCAACCACCTGGCTCTCTTGAGAGGTTGACACACACACAGAGACCCACGCACTGCCTCAACTTACTCGGAGACACACACAGACAGAGACTCATACACACACAGACATAGACACACACACAGAGACCCACACACTGCCTCAACTCACTCGACTTGACACTTCACACTGAACACTTACCAGATAACTCACACTCTGACTTCCTACGTGATGAAAAATGCTTTCGGGCCACTCGTCGTCTAGTTTTTTGGCAATGCCACAGACCATAGCACTTCAGACACCATTGGCCAAATGTCTCATGTCCAGTTTTGTTCAAGAAGCTCGAGCCCATGCCCTGCCTCATCTAGTTGAGTTTCAACCGTATGCATATTTGCCAGGAAGAGGTAGTTGGGATGCCATGTGCCGGGTCCATGGCCATGCGCAGACAGGCGGATCTGATCCACACAATGCAGGTCGGCAGCAGGCCCCACCCCAAACTCCCTGTACTACGGGAATCCCTCCACGCTGCCGTTGATCTTTTGCGCGTTCCCCAGATATTTCACGGGTCCTCCTTCAATGCCACTCCAACACCCAGTACATCCTGATCTACAAGGGGCTGACGGGCTTGACTAGACCCATCAAGGCGTATAAGGGTGTGAGACAAGGCCGGTGGAGCTCCCTTCTTCTGGACTTCATATGTGGCGCTGCTCTCAATGACGTAGCAAACTCTGCATCGGATGCAAGCAGCATGCACATTCCACGCTGATGACAGTCATCTCTGTTTTCAGTTCGCTGACGGGCATGCCTTAGACAGGCTTTGGACATTCTCAGCTCGATGGGGATGACTGTCACCTGCAAAAATCAGCCATACTTGTGGAGCTGAAGGGACTTCAGAAATCCTTGCTGCGGAAAAAATATGCGCTGAGCACTCCACATCACGACTTTGAAGATCCCAGCAGCCACACAGACCTACAACATCCCCATCCCAGGACTATTTCGGAGTGAAGATTGGCTGTAAAGACACGCAGAAACATACCATGCAACATCGGGTGACATCCTGCCAGCACGGACTTACACAGGTGGATGCTTGGCTCAAAAGAAGAACCACCTGTCGTTGAAGCATGAACTTTGGTCCACGTGCATCTTTCCCATGACGTTGATGCCACAGGCGTGACCTCATCAACTCTTGTCCAATTTCAGAATCAATTGATGAAACAACTCAGACAAATTGGTGGAGATCACTCCTACATCACGCACACCTCTCGCGGTGCTTTCTTGCGGGCGCATGGCATTGAGCATCAAGTGGCCCCCTGCGCCGCCGTCTCCAATCACAGATTGACCGCTGGGAGGAGAGACAGCGCCAGTTGTATACGCATGACATCCTTGCACAATCAACAGTGGCTCACCTCCACACAGCCCTTGAATGTATTGACTGTTGGTGGCAGGACCACATGGCGCTGAAGATCCAACACAGTTAGCTGAGGCCGGACTTGACTGTCTGTGAACTCTGTGGTCTTCGATTCAAGCATCATTACATTCTGAGACGTCGTCTGATTCATGTTCACGGAGTGGCGGCTCCACAGGGTCCCCCTTGGACATCTCACGAAACGCCATTGATGGTCGATCAATTTGTAGACACTGCGGTGTATCGTTCATCTCTCTCTCTCTCTCTCTCTCGCGCCCCCAGCTCTGGCACTCACTAAGGCCCCTCCAATGGTGCTGACTCAACATCGACGAAAACTCTGCTGGAGACCTTCAACTTCTTCAAGAAAATAGAGCCCTGAGCACGCTCCTCGCTGATCGATGTGTCCTTTGTGGCTACTGCTGCAAAGACCCAGCAAATGAGTGCTCATATGAGTCGTGATGGAAGCTGCAAGCCTCATTGCTCAAGTTCTGCCCAACATCACTAGAGACGAGTCGCCTCACCATGTTCCTTTTGTCACCAGGGCTTCAAATCCAAGACCCACACATGTCCCGTGATGAAACAGTTTTTCCTAGCATTGGCGATACAACCTTTCTCACTTTGAAGGCCCTCAAACATCATATCGATGGAAAATAGTGTGAGGTTTACACGCAGGACCAAGGAGGTGGCCTGCCTGTGGAACCACCCAGTGATCTTGGCTGGACTCAGTGGGTGTACTTTCCTGCTGAAACTTTTGCGGGCACCTTTCTCAAAGCTCCACACTCCTCAAGCACCTGAGCACGGTGACCGCTGGAATGAATGAGATCACATGGCTGGCAGAGTGGTTACAGCCCGCACCCTGCACCCCGCAGCCCAAAAGGGGTGATGCTCCTGATCAATAGAGCAGGTCAACACCCCATTAGCTGGATTGGAATGCACGTGCACATGCCCACCTGGAGGTCCACATGTTGGCACCATGGCCAACAATCTTGCCTTGTTCGTCCACCATCATCTTCACAAATTTAGTCACAAATTTAGACGCTCAAGGGAAGAGGCGGTGCTCACTCAGGCTTTGAAGCTGGACTTTCATGTCCTTTGTCCTTCACTTCAGCTGCAGTTTCCGGACCTGGACAAGCAGCTGGTCCGGGACGAGCTTCACAAAATCCTGGCCACGCCAGACCTCAGTGCAGCCCCTGATACTCCCTGATGTCATGTGTGTCAACTACACCCACTGCAGCATATGAGTGTCCAATCCCGATGCAACTCGCTGGCCTCTCGCGCCGCCTTCACCATGGACACAGCGGGAAACGGGATGGACATGGTGGAGCATGCTCAAGTCCATAGCGCCCATGGAGGTCGAACCATCGACCCAGCACAGCCACGAGACAGAGACCAGAGAACCAGCCTTCAGAAGGACAAGGCAAGGGACCCGCAAGGTGCAAAATTCCAGAGCATGCCCCTTAACATGATCGAGTGGCCTTCTTGTACTTTGTGTTTTTTTTGGTGGACCCCTGTTTTCACAGCAACCTTTGGGAAGCACGTGTTGAAGCAGACGGTCATGTACGAAGTGTAGACTGTGGCTCACACGGATGTCCTGCGCGCCTCTACCTCTGCGATGAGAAAAATGGAGACAGCGCTGAACATCAAACACTGATCACTTCGTCATACGGATTGCAGGCAATGTCAGTCAGGCCCCTCACTTCACCAACAATTCCATGGAGTTGGACAACTCCCCCTATACAAAGTGGTTGCGGTTTCATTTCATGTGGGTCTTGAACCGCAAGCTGGTCACTACAGAACAGCAATCTGGGAGGAACCCAGGATTTTGTTTGACGACAACGGAATTGCAGAAAAATGCTTTCAGCTTGCTGACCTTGTGCTCAGGAACTGCTGCGTGCTTTGGCTACTTGATGATCAGCTGGTGCCCTCATCCAGTGAAGCAGGTTCCTTGGCACTCCGGACATGAGGCGCAGATGCACTCCAATTTGGTGAACGCTTTTGGACCAGATAAACCTTGGACGGCGGTCAGAATCTTGGAACCCAATGATCGATCCGCTCGCCTGACTTTGCTGCCTCTGTGACACGCGGCCTCCAGACTTGCTGCAGCACGCGCAGCACCATCATGGCACGCTGTGGCTGCAAAGAAAACCTTGCTGACGTGTGAGAGTTTCCCCAAAATAAGGCTTTGCCAGGCAAATTGTGTGCCTGCCAGCCGTATTATCGCGAGTTCGTAGGTATGGGTGAACATTGTCCATGCATTCAAAATTATTGAATGTGTTCCTTCTAGAGCTGCAAGTAGACCAGGAGCTCTACACGTGACCTGGCCTTGCAGCTGGCAAAAACCTTTGGATGACCACTTGTGGTGGCCTGCAAAGACCCATCGTTTGTTCCATGAAGGGGTCAACGCAACCTCTGTGACCGGAGGGCGTAGGGAAAGAAAGATGACGGTGATGGTGATGATGACGATGATGATGAAAGATGATGATGATGATGATGATGATGCCCAAGCAGTAGCCAAGTGCGTGTTGTGACTCTATACCCATCGTTTTTGCAGGGGTTCACGATTAACATTCATTAGCCCATCGCTTGAAAATCCCCCAATCCAACCAGTGCAACCAAATTATCAAACGGTGACTTGGCCACATCTTGTTCGCCCAGGAAAATCTTCCGGTGAATGGAGAGGTGGCACGCATCAAACGTTTGCTAGCAGCTTCAGCCGCCCACATTGCCGTGAAGATGCACGGGCGTGCCCACGTGACGTTGAAGGATGGAGTTGTGGTGGCGACGCCATCGTCAGGTCGGAAGGGAAGAATGGAGAGCTTTGCATTTGCACCGAAGTTGCGCACCCAAACAACCGCAACACACAGATGAATAGCTGCATCCTGATTAAACATATCCTGAACACAGGCCACCACCGAAGTTTACCAGCGAAGGCAGCAGGTAGACAGGATGAGGAGCACCGCTTGAACATGTTTGAGCCAAAACTCGGAGACGAAGGGGGTTGGGGATCAATACTGGGAGCCAGCAAGGGCCCAATCTTCTTGAAATAAAGAAATGCATGGGTTTCAGACATTTTGGAAAGAGTTGTGACGTGGCAAAATCACATGTTTCGTAGAGTTTCTTCGGTTTGTCGTGCGACTGTTCTCCAGAGCCGCAGGTGACACTTGTGGCACTTCAAGCGAACGAGTTCCTGTTGACTCCCGTGGCAGTGAGGCTGACTGGCCGCTTGCAAACATATCGAGCTTTGTGGAGGCCATGGGCAACAAGAGCCGTGACCTCTCTGAAGCCTTGATGGATCGGTGCCTCTTGGAAGAAGCTGAGGCTTCCGAACGTGCCCTTGCGGGTGCCAAGCAGATTCTGTTCAAGTACTCGCGTTGTCAAAGCTTCTACCTAGAAATCATTCAGAAGTTGGTTGCAGTCGGCTTGGTGTCAGTGGTGAACAGTGACGATGGCCTCCAATTGTGCATGGCATTCACACTACTGATGGCTGCAGCAACTGGCATGGCTCAGCCCTACTTTCATCCGCAGGCGGGGTGAACATCAAGAAACTGGTCCCAATTCGGAGTCAAAAATAAGAAGCGATGTTTTCCTGGGGGTGCCCTTGACCAAATCCGTCTCGCGCATGCTCAGCGGTCTCGGTGTTGGAGGCCAACAGTGTCCAGTGCTGCAGTTTCGCGTGTCTGGCTCTGGCAGCAGTGGGTTTCAGCTATGAATTCACTTGGTTTCTTGGCACTGGCGAGTTCGCTTGCGGCGAACTTTAATATGATTTCGGTTGCGGTTCGGTTCTAGTGGCAAGGCCGATGGCAAGTGGTTCTAGTGGTATGTTGGGGACATGGCAATCCAAAATGCGCCACTTTGTATAGTAGGGACCAGAAGATCCGCCGTTGATGTCTAAGAATAGAATTGGGATACATTTAGCAATGACTATGGCCTCGACAGCCCAGATGCATTCCTGGTTTCCAGTGTAGCTGCATGGTTTTTTGCGACCAACAACATACTTTCTTCGGCTTCCTTTTTCGGAACGCGAGGTGAAGATCTTCCCTTCTTGTCTGTCGGAGCATCCCATGCATCCTTTAGTGAAAAGTACATCCCGGATTCCCATGTTGCTTTGATTTTCTGCGACTCTAAATTCAACACGTCGGAAATTTCTTCAGGCTGATTTCGAGTTGGTATTTCCTCAGGCTGAGCCGCGGCTCCTTGGCGGTGCCCTTCCTGCTGAGTGCTGGATTGGCCTTGCGCCCCGACAGCACGGAGAGCCTGGCCGTGAGGATCTGGCGGCAGATGGGGAAGGAGATCCCCAAACTGCAGGACGCTGGGCTCAAGAGTTGGAGAGTTGGTGATGCACGTTGTTGGATGTTGATTGATACTGGCGTTGGTGGTTGGTTATGGCTGGTCGCGGTTGTGACTGTGGCTGTGGTTGTTGTTGTTGTTGTTGTCGTTGTTGTGGTGTTTGTTCCCCACATCACTGTTCGGGGTTATGGTTTTTCGCTGTGCGCCTGCCGCTCCGTCCTCCGTCCTCCGTCCCGCATCTGTCACTCATCTTACACCACTCATCACACACCACTCATCTTAGACCACTCATCTGACATCACTCATCTTACACCACTCATCTTGCCCCACTCATCTTACACCACTCATCTTACCCCGCTCATCTTACACCGCTCATCTTACACCCCTCATCCTACACCACTCATCTTACACCACTCGTCTTACACCACTCATCACACACCACTCATCTGACACCACCCATCTTTCACCACTCATCTTACACCACTCATCTTTCACCACTCATCACACACCACTCATCTTAGCCCACTCATCACACACCACGCATCACACACCGCCTCTCACCACTTATCTTACACCGCTCATCTCACACCACTCATCAAACACCCCCCATCTTACACCACTCATCAAACACCCCCCATCTTGCGCTCATCTTGCACCACTCATCACACACCACTCATCACACACCACTCATCTTACACCGCTCATCTTGCACCACTCATCACACTGCCTTTCGTGTGGCAGGCGCAGTACACAGCGCCTTCAGGATGGACGCGGGGGCGCCGCTGGGCCGCGCTTGCCTTTCGCGCGCCAGGCGCAGTACACAGAGCCTTCAGGAGGGCCGCATGGACGGGGGCGCCGCTGGGCAGCGCGTGCCTTTCGTGTGGCAGGCGCATCACACACCACGCATCACACACCACTCATCACACACCACTCCTCACACACCGCCTCTCACCACACATCTTACACAATTCAACGCCACTCATCACACGCCACTCATCTCACACCACTCATCACACACCACTCATCTCACGCCACTCATCTTCCACCACTCCTTCTTACACAACTCATCACGCACTACTCATCTTACACAGCTCATCACGCACAACTGTCTTACACCACCCATCTTACACACTCATCTTACACAACTCATCACACCCCACTCATCCTACACAACTAACTCGTCGCACACCACTCATCTTACACCGCTCATCTTACACCACTCATCACACCCCACTCATCTTCAACACACGACTCATTTCACACCACTCATCTCACTCCACTCATCACACACCACTCACCACACACCACTCATCTCATTCACTTTTATCATCCAGTGTCTCATTCACTTTTACCGTCCAGTATCGGTCCGTCCTCTTTTCTTAGCAGTCTCTACTTCTCGTTGCTAGTTCTTACAAGAGTAACATGTGGGGTTATGGGGTCTTGTTGTTGTTGTTGTTGTTGTTGTTGTTTGCTGTTCGTTGCGCTTGTTGCGCTTATTGTGCTTGTTGGCTCGAGAGTTGGAGGAAGGGTTTGGTGATGCCTGTTGGTTCCTGTTGTTGGTGGTGGGCCTTGTTGCGCTGATTGTGCTTATTGGTTGTTATTGCTGGTGGTTGCTTTTGCTGTAGTACAGTTGGAGTAGCTGGTTGCGGTTGACCCAGGGTTGCCTGGTTGACCGTTGTGGATCGACGGGGTCTCACGAATCCATGGCCTGTGAGTCCAAGAATTCGGTTTATGTTGGGGATGATCAGCATCGATACTTTAATGCGGACGTGTGTGTGCTGACCAAGCAGCATCAAGGGATCACATCTGGAGGGACATCTGGAGATTAGCGGCGCAGCAGGATCAGTAGCCGTCTCCATATGCCCAAGATCTTCATGTCAAGTCATATCCGCACGTGAAATGGTTTGCTCAAGCGTCGTAGGTGGGCTTGTTCCCCACGTTGATGTGTGGGTTTTTTGTTTTTAGTGCTGTATCCGCTCCTGCTTCCTTCCTTCCTTCCTTCCTCCCGCCCTCCGCGCCCAATAACCAACTCACTCAACTCACTCACGCAATTCACTCAACTCACTCACTCAACTCACTGACTCAGCTCACTCACTCAACTCACTCACCCAAGGGGTTGGATGTACGCCATGGGGTCGCTTGGTCGCCACGTGATTTGCGTGCAAGGCACGGTACTTGGTGCTCTCCAAGGGGTTGGATGTACTCCCTGGGGTCGCTTGGTCATCGTCATTGTCATCGTCATCGTCGTCATTGTCGTCATCGTCACTGTCATCGTCATCTTCATCGTCATTGTCGTCCTCGTCATCGTCATCTTCATCGTCATTGTCGTCATCGTCACTGTCATCGTCATCATCATTATTATTATCATCATCGCCGTCATCATCATCGTCATCATAATCATCATCAGATGGGATCATACTACTTCTTCTTCAGAGAATCCGTGACCATGTGGCTTTTCGACTTAATCAAACACGATTTGGGCGCCCCCACGAAACATAAATTATAACTCACAACTTGGAATGAGAACTTTGATACCCAACCATTTATGGGGATATGCGCACGCGCTTGTGTCAATCCACGATTATGTTCCTGTTCGTTTCAACTGAAAAATGCTGAGGCCCAAGACCCTTATGAGTTTTTTCGAACATCATGGAAGACTTTTGGAAAGTTTGTTGCAATAGGGGTGACGATCAGATTGCTGGGCATCACCCTTCAACCCATGACTTCACCACAATTCCCTTGGCGCAAGCCACCTGGGGATCCACCCTGGCATTTGAGGATGGAAAACCCCTGGAGGTTCTGGTGGAGCCTTGGTTGGGGTGTCGAGCCGAGAGAGCTTCCCTTGCCCAAACACTGCCCAGTTGATTGACTTGGCCAAAACATACGGATCTTCGATAGCCTTCATTCCCGGTTGTTCTGATAGTGGTGCCACCTTGGCACCAACCAAACTCGATGGTTTTTAGATAGTAGTACCTGTTGCTAGTGTAGTTGATTGTTTTTTCAACATCACCTCGATTGAAAACAGGATGGACACAGAGTCCTCACCCACATTATTCATGGAGTTCGCCTAAGACCTGAGGCTTCAAACAATAGATCTGTGGTGTGGGCAGAGTCTATGGGCACTGGGGTGTATTGACACGTCACTTGAAAAAATCAAGTTGCCACCTCAGAAGTTGCCTTGAGATGTCTTCTAGTAGAGTCTGGAGATTTCGAGGAGGTTCAGAATAGGGACGCCACAGAGTTTGGATTGTCGCTAGCAGAATTTCCAGAAACAACAATTGTCATGTGTATTTCCAGTCGCACCACTGGCTCCGATTTTGCCGCTGAGGAAACCGTTTCTTTCGTATGAACTGTTAGACATGTATTCACTGACAGAATGAGCTTGCAGCCACGGCAAACGCATGTGGCAGAAAAAGAAAGGACTTTTAGGCTCTGGTCTGCCTTGTCAGCATCGGTATTGCGCTGCTTTTTGTACGTGGAACACATGTTTGATGGTGAGCGCAGTTGGACATCAACACCATAAATCCCTAAGAGCCTAAGTGCTTTAAGCTGCATGGACGTATGCAAAAGCACGTGGCTTTGCTCAGCTGTCCCAGGCAGCTCTTCACAGATGGATGGTGGGGTCGCTGGCTCAGCAAAGGTTGGGAAGTTCCAAGTCAGCAAAGCATCCCAAGTCACCATGCAGGTCGAAGTTGTTTCCCCACGGACGCTTTCCAACTCAATTTTTGACGCTGAAATCATTGCGTGATGTTTTCGCAGGCCTCTCCAATGGGCAACTGACTGACGCTTAGTGAGAGCGATTGTAATTTGGGCATTTCAATCTGACTGTGACCAGCTGCTTTGTTGCTCAGGGAGGGACAGCAGCGCAGAGAAGTGAGCAGCAGGAGTTTTGACAGACCCTTTTCATGAGAGTGGACATTGGTCAACTACGCAGGACAAGCCTAGCCGCAAAGAACTAGGCTAGAAACTACTCTGGTTGCGAACCGAAAGAAGAAAAGCTGTCCGTGACCTCGGCGCCAGGACGATCCATCCTACAACTTGTTTTGGGAGAGCGCCCCAACTGCTCACGCCTTCCCCGACGACGAGGACGCGACAACGACCAATGGACGGTCCATTCGAGCGGTGGAAAAGGCAAACAAGGCGACCGCAAGACTAGTAGCGATGCCCTTGTTACTAGTGAGGTCTGGACCTCACAGCTGAAGTTGTTGGGTGGTGCTAAGATATTGGGCTTAAAGGAATGATGCTTTGCACCCCTACCTTGGGACGCAGTGGTTCGGTGGTACGATGGCCCTTGGCCCACTATCCACGGCAGGAGCGGGAAGAAGTTGAGCGAAGCTTCTGCTGGACTCTTCACATTCGCAACTTGACTTCAAGTTGATTCAAGTTGGTAAGTTTGCGCATCAGTCCTTTTCATTGCCCGATCCAAAAATGGGCTCTAGGTTAGTTTCAAACGCCTTTTTCCCGTCTCGTTCTTGTTCCGAGCAAAAGGGCCAAGTCCAACAAAAGCATGGCAAAAAGAGTTGGACATTCAGGCCTAGCACCGCATAAGAGAGCAACTAGCGATGGCCTCCAACCTACTGTTGGTAGCAAAGACCTTTAACCTATGATCAATGGCCTCCAACCTACTAGCGATGGCCTCCAACGTACTAGCGATGTCTTCCAACCTAATACTGGTTGCAATGACCTTCAACCTAAGAGCAATGCCTTCACCCTAGTAGCGATGGCCTCCAACTTGCTAGCTAAGGCCTCCAACCTACTACTGGTAGCAATGACCTTCAACCTAATAGCAATGGCCTCCACCCTGGTAGCGATGGCCTCCAACTTACTGGCGCAACCTACTGGTAGCAATGACCTTCAACCTAAGAGCAATGGCCTCCTGTGATTCTGTGTGGTTTTGCCATTTGAGTCATGACACCACTTGCACACATTCGCCGTCGTCGCATGCCGCTGCCATTTGAAGGGTGCCCTTTTGCCAAGCTCTTTGACAAGAGCATTCGCTACTGTTTGCCATAGGCGCTACCGGCGCGCTGAACTTCGAACCCCTTTGAGCACGAGAGGTGCTTGGAAAGCAAGAACGCTTGCAGAGAATTCTTTTGGAGTTTGAGCCCCACCTTGATTCCTCAGCTGGCGACCGTTTCGCCTCTCTTGGTTGCTACCAGTATCACACCGATATTGGTAGCGGAGCCGGCAAGGCTCGCGCTGGCGTGGAGGACGAAAGGATTCATCCGGAGTTCTTCGCGAAGAGGTGCACGAGTTGTGAGATCCAGGGCAACGGTGGCTGGTATTTCCTTTTGCTGAAAGGGGCTTGTTTCAGTGCACGAGTCATTGAGGATCCCTCGGCAAGTTGGTTTGGCTCGCGAGCATTTTTTGCTTTTGGGCTGCTGTTTGGAACTCTCACTTCATCCTGTTTTCCTTCCTCGCTTCTGAGTATTTCTTGGGTTAGGAGGCCATGACCGAGAAGGACAAGGACACCTCTTTGCGGTGCCACTGGGATGGAGACTTTGCTACATGGCCGGACTACGGTCGAAAGGTTCGCCTGGCCTTTGAGAAGACCCGTCGACGAAGGCGGGCACAGCTGGGACCAGACTTGGTGTCCCAATTGTCTGGAAGAGCCTGGGTTGTGACACAAGAGATCGACTACAAGGCTTTGACACAACCCAATGGAGCTCGCTACCTGATCACCTGGCTCGCGTTCAAATCCCGGACGCGGGATCCCAGGCAGAGGCACTACTCCTTCGACTCCGACGAGTAACAGGGGCTTCAATGGCAACCTCCGTCGAGCTCAAGGTGATGTCCCTGAGGTCAAGGAGCCAGCAGCGAACAGAAGAAGAAGCCCAACGTGCTGACCACTTTGATAGAGCACTCCTGGCATCAGCTCCACAACAACCTCCTTCAACACACAGCCCTCCACTTCACTTACTATCGGTACGTGGACAACCGCTTCATTATCCACAATGAGCACTTCCTGTCCCACCCAGCCATCCAAACGTTGATCCACCATAACTTCTTTGGCGACCCAGTCGAACTGGAACCCGTCGATGACTTCCACCTCTTGGGCTTCAACATTGACCTACCACAACGCACCATCACCTACATTCAGCCCACCCAACCCTGGAAAATCAGGGACCACACCAGCGCCGGTAGCCAGCGCTTGGCTCTCTCCGGCTTAGCTTCCAGACTTTGCCATCTACACCTACACCTTTCCACAACAACATGCCACAGCGGCGGCTGAAGAGCTGATTCGCCTTTATGTCCAAAAGGGGCATGACTCTGCAGCCTGCAGAAGGTTTTTGAAAAAGTCCTTCCACCGAGCTTCACTTGCGCCGACAGCGGCGTGTTGTGTGTGTCAAGCCCTGTTTCGAAGGGTCTTTTGCAATCACGCGGTACCGCAGGGGGCACGGAGACTGATTTCCTATCCGTGCCAACGAAGCTACGGAAATCAGTTAGAAGAGAGCTAGGACGCTGGCTCTTGTACCTGCGACATAACTGTTGCTCAAGCTGTCCAATCTTCCTTTTTTGCTTCCATGGTTGTTCATGATACCTCCCACAAACCTTTTCCCTTCACAGTGCAGCTGCTGAACGTCACTTTCTTTTGAGCGCTTTCGGAAACATTGTTTCAACAATACTGTTGTGCGGACTCATGCACCTTGCCGTTCCATCACCTTCCTTCCCAGCTTGGCAACTGAGCTAACTGAAAACCAACGTCGAAGTGTGGTGCACTGATCCATGAGGCTGCATTGGTTGATGACTTGCTTTGTTTAACCCTACCTCTCATTGCTCTCTAGCCCTGCCCACTGCCGCTGCCGCCCTATGGTCCACTGCCGCTGCTCTGTTCAGTCGAGCTCTGCTGACGGTCCTGACGGCCCTGTCACGTGGCAATCGTCAACACAGTGTTCCAAACTGTTTGACAGACTTGGGGGGTGCCCCAAACACGATCGAAATAGCACCATTTCATTAACACAAGTCTTCCGAAGCTGTGTGCAGTTCTGCAACAAAGTCATCCACAACCGTGCCTGGGCCAACTTCAACGTTGCTTCAACCAATGATGAAACCTTAATTGCCACACTCCCCAATGAACTGAACCAAACCTTGTCAAGTGACTGTGATGCTGCAAACTCTGCTGTTCTTGCAGTGTCCCCTTCAGGCATTTTTCATTAAACTGCAAACAAGTCACTGCATGCCACGCTCTGCCCTGCCATCCTTGGCCTCTTGTCCGAGGCTTCTCGCGGCCACCTCCCAGCCTGGGACAACGCACACGCCATTCCATAACCCAACACGGCCAAGTTAACAGCTCACTGCAGTGGCCCCAAAACGGAGCCCCAACCCTGAGTGAAAACTCGGTGATTTGGGATAAGGAGGTCAGGTGAGGGGGGGGGCTAGTAGCTTACTTGCCTACCCCAATTGTACAAGAAAACACGTTTCGCTTCAATCGTGAATCCAGAGACCTCGAAGAATCACGTGGAAAGTTATCACAGCTCACGCTCAGTCAGTGTGCAACCGAGTCACGGCTGCAACTGACCATCGTTGTCGAAGAACCGTTGTCCAAGGTACCACCCACGTTGCTGCGGATCTCGTCGAAGGGCTGCAGCGTAGGGTTCCAGCGCCTGACATTGCGTCAATTGGGAGAAACCAACTTAGAACTGCGTGCGAGAATCCCCTGCGCGCGCAACAAAATTGAACAGGAAATGCCTCTGAATCCAAAGGCGATCAAGCGCGTGTCAAAGTCTGAAAGGACCTGTGGGTCCCTTTGAAGCAGGCTGAACCCACGCCTTCGGAACGATCATGACTGGCAGAGGTGGTGGGGGGGGCAGCAAGTGCTGCTGTTGAGCTGGAGCTCGAGGTGGCGCGGCGCCGGTGGCGGTGGTGGGGGCAAAGGCGGTATGTCCTTGGGCGGTGTTCGAGGCACGCCAGGCGGCCGGGGCGGTGGAGGTAAAGGATGGTGCTTCCGGACAGGTGGTGGTGGCGGCAGAGTCCTCGAAGCTGATCCAGGCTCAGTCTTTGGCATCGCCTGGGACGCACAGGTCGCTTCAGAACCAACACACTCAACTATATAATCAAGCATGCTGAATGGAACACGTGCCATTTGCATGAGACAAGCCTTTTGCTTGTGAACTTTGGCTGAACCTCCAAGCTCCTGGATTCAAGAGACATGTGAGGAGATGTCACAAAAGTTGCCTTTCAGGATAGAAAGGAAACTTGCCAGATTCAAACCTTTTGTTTGTCAAGTTCAAGCCTTCGTAGATGCATGTGCAGGTCTGGATGTCGAAGCTTCATCGGCAGTGTTCTCCTGATGGAAAGGTTTGCGCGGGCGCTCAAAAAGCCATGGCAACAGAGCAACAAGCCAGCAAAGTGATCCACCTTCCCAAACAAGTGCACAACTCATCACCTCAGCAACCACCTCTTCTTCGGATTCGCTCTTCTCCAATGGCCGCTTCCTGCCCTGACGAGCATACCACAGTGACACCATTACCACTTGCCACGCACACTGACCAACATAACATCAACTCACAACCTGTGTTCATCAACTGTCAAGTGCCTTGCTGATCTCAAAGGTCAGGGTGGACTCAACCCACTCGTTCATGTCGTTGAGATACTGCCACCCTCCGAGCAGAACGCAGCGCTCCAAAAACAAATTCGACGTGTTTTGAACTGCATTTTTGAAGCCCCTACTTTGTTTAAAGAAGTCCTCACTCAAAGTTCATCCCCCCCATAGGATTGCGACCCGGCCTTCACGAGGTGGGTCGGTGGACTCGCTGGCGTTCTGCCAGCATGTGCCACCTGCGCACCAAAAGGTTGAAAAGGTTGCACCAAGCATGCAAGAAGCAAGCTACAACGTTGAAAAGGTTGCAACAAGCAAGCTACAACAACGATTATTCAATTCCCACCGGCTTCAACATAAGTCTTGCCTGATTCCATCTGGATACGCCACCCCTTTCGGCTCCAAGAGAGCATCGTCTTGCTCTTGGTGAACCACCTGTACTCGCCACTTGCATCCTGGAAGCGTCCGAGCATCCCCAGCTCCAAGAAGAGCTCGTCTTCTCCCTGCACGTGGCCAAACGTGAAGATGAAGGTGAATGACATGACTGATGACAAATGAACTCCTTGAGGGAATGAATGACGACAAGAGCAACCCCAGAGCAACCCCAAGCAACGAAAGCGGTGTGGCGCCTCCACCGGGTTTGGGATGAACGCCGCATACGCCATGGCGGAAGCGGAAGGTGCGCACAGTGGAAACGAAAGTTGAATGGACAGATGAATGCATGCCACGTATGCCATCATGAACTGCAGTGTGGAAACGTGAGCAAGTGCCGCAGCATTGCTGATAACGCTTAACCCATTGAGTCATTGGCAAACATGGTGTGTCATATCGCTGTGTTCACATCTCACTGCACTGGCTTTGTTGACAACACATTTGCAAGTGGTTGCCCAAATACATTAAGATCATTTAACTGAGCCTGAAACGGATTAAATTCACGGATGCACACGCAAGTTGTCCCAGACGCTTGAAGTTGAAACACCTTCCTTTAGTGCACATGGAAGCGCGCTCAAGTTGTCCCAAAACACTTGACAAAAGATAGATTAAAAAAACAAGCGCTTGAAGTTGAAACACCTTCTTTAGTGCACCTGTGCGCCATCTGCGTCAGTGTGTGTGTGTACATGTAACTTGTGCACCATTTCAAGCTCGCTATATAGACATCTATGGACCATTTTTCCCTTTGCGTATGTTCAAGGTTGCAGCTCAAGACCTCCTCCTCCCTGCGGATACTTGGAGCTCTGGTCTACTTCCTGGCCTTGCTAACTACCCTATTCTTCTCAAGTGGCTCAGACGCCAGGATGCCTTCCTTGAGATGCTTGAGGTTTGCCAACGAAAGCTCCAGCCACATCTGCTGCGTCCCAACCCCTTCGAACAAAGCCATTGCCTGAAGCACCTCGACCTCTCCGTATGCGGGCATCTCAATGCGAATGCTGTGAGGCGCCAGTGGCCCGTGCTCCTTTGTCCTCGCTCTCAACTTTCTTCTCTTGGCATTGGGTTCATCCTCGTCTGAGATTGCCTGCGCCAGAGCTGCGTTGCAAGCCTTTTGCCGAGCTTCAAGCAGGTCCTAGTAGAACTTGGTGTTCACAGTCCCACCGTCTTTCTCCTTGCGGAGGTCTAAAGACTTGCCCGTGACCCAGTGGACAAATCCACGGTCCCACTTTGCGAAGGCAAACCAAGTCTTTCCATTCTCTTCCTTCTGTGTCGGAGTCCATACCGCACCTTCTGACACAATCTTGTACTGGCGGACCAGCTCCATGGACATGGTGGCAGCACCAACAACAAAATCACACAGAAGCTTGATCCATTGAGACAAAGGCATGGAGCAACCCCCAAGTCAAACATGGTTGAAACATGCACGAAGACCCTGCACACTCCCACACTCAAGAACATGTGTGCGAGTTTGCTCAACGCCAATGACAGCCAAAAACATGTACAGTGCATGACGTTTGTTGAAAATGTCGCCACAACTGTTTCAAGCATCCATGCATGCATACATGGTGACCCTGCACTGCTGCTTCAAAGCATGCGCGCGAGCTTGCTTATTGCACCAATGAGAAACACATAAGTCACATCACATGCCCAATCAGGTGTCATGGCAGTTCTTTCATGGGTGCGATCAGGCGTGCCAGCTCAAAAAGCTGTTTCAAACATTTCGGAACCTATTTCACTCAGGGCCTTTCTCTCTTCGACGCTTTTTCGCCGGAGAAACCTCGAGAGGCTCTGCTTCCTTCGTCACCTTCTTCTTGTAGATGGCCAGGCGGTCACCCTTGTTGAGTTGGCCAACATTCGTCAGAATGGGGATTTGAATCTTGGGGTTTCCAACCTTCACCATAGTCACCTGCATGGTAGCCTCTTCAACTTTGGACGTTGTCTCCACAAACCAAAACGCTGTGACAAAGCCGGATTCGTCATCTTCTTTTGGGAAGATCACCGTGGGGTTCAAAGTAAAAGCCATATCCTCTGACTGGATCACGTAGCGGTCAGGTGAAGGCTCTGTGTCATACTTGATGTTCATGGTCGTTGGTACCAAAGTCAATTTCTTCAAGGGCTTGGTTACAAAGCATGCTCGGTTTGGTTTCACGACAACCCTCGAAGAATCACATGCGTCGGCTTCATGCTTCATATGCAGATGTTCCAACTCCAGAACGATCCGGGCCTTCTCGTTCAAGACCTTCCAATCTGAGAAATCACTAGGTTTGAACAGTGACAAATCATCTACCACCGTAGGCTCTGCTTTTGGAGTGAACCGGGCCCACTCTCCTGACAGGAAAGCTTTGATAGAAACCTTGAAAGTATTGCCATCAGGCTGCTTCACACGAACCAGGTCTTGAGTCACTCCGGAGATCTGTCCACGCTCTTGGGTGGCTTTGCGTTTGACAAATGACCCTACAGGAAAACCAGCGTCTGCCATGCAATCCTGTGGGTTTTTGACCGTGCCGCCACGGTCAAGTTCTCTCAACCGGTCACCTCCGGCAGGTGGGCGTGATGAATCGGTGTCACGCTTCTGCGCGTAAGCTTCCCAAGGGGGTGCAAATTCATTCTGGGTGATGCCCTTGATGATCTGCGCCTGCAGTGGCACGCTTCCGGCGCGATAGACATCGCTGTGTGTACAAGCTATATATTGAAAACAGCCAGCGCAAAGCGCAGAACATGACATGCATCCGGTTGCATCACGATAAGTTTGACCAACATACATGTCAACATGACAAGTTAGACCAACAGACATTCCAAGGCGCGAAATCGTGCGCAATGCCCTCCAATGAGTCATGAGAGGCCTCGCCAGGAATCTTGGCGTTCAACAAAAAAGCCGCCATGGCAATGTGGGTGAACCCAAGCGCAGCAGCAACCTTGCCATCCACGGCCCAGGGCAGGCCAAGATGGTCTACGATGCCCTTTGTCTCTGACACGATGTGGTTGGCTATCTCCAGCCTCTTCGCAAACTCTTTGGAGCGCAGGCATCTTTTGATGTCTGAGACGGTGCCAATGTCTTTCACCCATGCCAATTTGATGAAAGCGTGACGGACCCAGACATGTTTTTCTGTTCGGCCCCTCACATCGGCAGCCAAGACTTCCCACAAGGCAGGACCCATGCTTTTTGTGGAAGAGCCATGAGCTCGGCAAAACTGCTCCGTTTCCACCAAGAAACTGCCGTCGTGGCCACCTGCAAACTTCAGCATGAACTGGTACAAATGGGGAGTTGATTTCGCACACGCTGGCCAGCTTGCAAGCGCTCTCTTCTTGATGCGCTGGTAGTCAGGCATCAGACCCTCATTTTTCTCTTGGGTGAAAAGGCTGTGTAGCCTTCTGAGGATTTGCAGCTCGCCTTCGCCTTTGACCAGGCTGGCGTTGCCGCACTGCTGGGTCAAACGTAGCAATTGAGGGAAATTCTGGGCAACTGCTTTGCGCCACTGCAAACCATTCACGATAGCATCGTGCAGCCCTGGATCTCGTTCCTGGATCTTTTGAATTGAGATTTGCCATCCACTGTGATCCCTTCGTTGTGGTGTTCAACACCATCTGCTGCAATCCTCAACGGAAGATTTGTGTGGGAACCACACAGTGCGGCTGCGCGGAGCTTGTCAGCATGCATAATGCCCAAGCGTCCCGAAGACATGTTAACCAACTTGTGATTGAATCGACGGATTTCGTCTCCTTCACTCCCGTCTGGAATCTCAACAGCAACAGCATCCACTTTCTGCGGCATGTAGCCAACTTCCACTATGCTATCTAAAAGGTCATGGACTGCGTCGCTCTCAATCCCAAGCCCATCCCGATTCTGAGGCTGGGCGCCAACTTGTTGTGGTGCCAGCTTGGCCTTGTATACCAAGCCTGCCTTCTCCAGTGTATCTAGGATGGCATGGGCGTTAACCACCAGCTGCTCGCCTTCCAACGCTTAACCACCAGCTGCTCGCCTTCCAACGCCCACGCCAAGCGGTCTTCAACCTCCGCCCGCAACTTCGAATCCATCTTCCAGCCAGAAGTGTGCTGACTGACGTGCGCGCTTGCAAAGCCAAGACTGCGCACACATCACACGCAAAGAAAAGGTTTGCAAATGCAAAGTTTGCGAAAATCATTACACATGTTTGCAATCTGCGAAGAAACAACACTGCAACATGCAATTGAGCTGACTGTACGCACCAAGTTTGCGCAGCTTTACTCTGAACGCCCAACAACATGAAACAAGTTGCGCGCGCAACAGCATGAAGCAAAACCAACATAACACCTGCCAGCGAGAAACGTCCCTGCTGTGCGAGATTGTTTGGACAAACATATGCTCCTTGCGCAGACTTAAACAACGTGAGACAAGTTGCGCGCTCAGCAGCTAGTAAAACCAACAAACATCTGCCAGCGAGAGGCCTCCCTGCTGCGCGAGACTGTTTGGGGTCACATATCCTTGCGAAAGTTTCGGTCTAGTGTATGTTTGACAGCTCCAAGATTTTCTTCCCGTTGGCACCACTTTGGCGCGAGCGCTTTATGTATCTGAGTCTCAGCATTGGTTGGTGTTCTGGATTTCGTTGGTCGAAAGGGCCAGCCGGCCAAGTTCAAACATGCATATGTCATACATAGCGCACATAGCTTTGTAGTGCAACTAGTTAATAAGTGACGCGCAAGTAGTTTGTGAGTTGCAGGTAAGTACTTAATAAGTTAACCTTAAGTAGATATATGTAATGTAAACAGATATATGTTTGGAACCATACATATATGTATGCTACCTGCAAATAGGAGCATTGCAGCAGTTATAACATAACTTAGGCCACTTGTAACCTCACTTGCCGTTGTTACTAAGTAGTGCAATCCCCATAACCAGATGCTAACCGAAGCGGGCCGCCAAGAACCCACTACTGGCAGCAATGACCTTCAACCCAACAGCAATGGCCTCCACCCTAGTGGCGATGGCCTCCTACTTATTAACGATGGCCTCAAATCTACTTCTAGCAAGGCCCTCACCCCAAGAGCAATGGCCTCCAACCTACAAATAGCAATGACCTTCAACCTAAGATGACACTGCCTCCACCCTAGCAGCGATGGCCTCCATGGCTTCCAACCTACTTCTGGCAAGGACCTTCAACCTAAGAGCAGTGGCCTCCACCCTAGTGGCCTCAATGAATGACCTTCAACCTAAGAGTAATGTCCTTTAAGGACCTCCAACCCAAGAGCAATGATACTACGGTGGCCCTATGCCCTCCAACCTACTACTGGTAGCAATGAAAACCCTAATACCAATGGCCTCCACCCTAGTAGTGATGACCTCCAACCTATTAGATGGCCTCCACCCTTCTATCCAACCTATTATTGGTAGTAATGATCTTCACCTTGAGAGCGATGGCCGCCAATCTAATCGTTGTGGCCTCTTACCAACTAGCAACGATCTTCAAGCCCACCTTTTTGCATAACAATGGGGATATTATGGGACGCAGGCAGTACGCACAGAGCGCTGCATATCTCGCTCGGGCGTATCTCGCGTCGTCCTGAGCGGTTTTGGAATGCATTGCAGGAGTACCTGGTGGATAGCTGGAAAGCAAGTCCGCGTGAGTGAAATACATTATCTATTTCATAAATTAGGACATATTCCGGCTTTCGCGTTGATGTTTTATTGGCGTATAATATGATATGTTTCTTCTTTTGAATTTTGCGTTTTATTTTGATGTATATTTGTTTATCGATATTGGTATTATTATTATATATAATTTGGGATGAAATTGAAAATTGAATTCTATTTGGTATTGTTTTTTGTACATTAGTATTGAGAATCGTGGCGTTTTTTTATTGGATTTAGGAGGGTAGATATTACGTATACATTGCGTAGGGTTGTGGGAAAAGATGATGTTTTCGAAAAAATTATGTATATATCTATGATTTTTAATAAATATTTCCATAAATTTTATTATGATTTTTTATATTTTGATACCGGATTATGTATATTTATGCGTATTAATATATGGATATATCTTTTTTTCTTATGGCTAGAGTTTTCTTTGCGTCGCATTATTTTAGCGTTTTTTATGTTGATACCGGATTATGTATATTTACGCGTATTAATATACGGATATGTCTTTTTCTTATGGTTGTAGTTTTCTTTGCGTCGCATTATTTTAGCGTTCGTAATTGTTTGTAATTTTTCGTGATAGGGTGTTAAAGGCGTTGTTATTCGTAGAGAGTTTTGGAAAGAATTTCGGATGGAAATGTTTAAAATATCGTGGAAATGTAAGTTGTTGAAGTGTGAATTTGTAATGAATATTTTTTTTGATAGATCGAAATTAGTTAAAATATTTTTTCTTTTATTTGTTATATATTTGATGAAGCTTAATATTTTTTTTTTGTGATAGGTAAAATATAAGCGTTATTTTAGGCTCGAGTTACGGTAATTATTTCTTTGTAAATTTTCTCGCTATTTTTATTGCTTTGTGCTCTGGAATTTTTGGCTTTTACTTTATTGATGATAGCTTTTATTTGGTTGTTCTTTTTTTTGTTACGACTGAGGCTGATTTCTTAGGACTTATGGATACTAATGTATCGCCTTTTATATCGAGCGGAACTATGGGTGGCGTGAGGATTGTCCGGGATTCCTCAATCTCGGACGAGAATGGAAATGATTCTTTCACTCGAAACTAGAGCTTCTCTACGAAGCCTTTTGAGGTATGGGCTAGAGGAGGTTACGACTTTGTCGTTTCTCGGCCGCGTATCGTTTAGATTAAAAGGATCTTTAAGAGAGTATGCTTCCGTGCCTTATCGAAAAGGCTTTCTTTTTGACACCGATGTGCCCTGGCGCTTTCGAGAAGCCTATCGACGGCACTCACAAGATAAGCTGAAGTCACGGCTACCGCAAACAATACCTGGTATACGGTGTATGACCTGGAATGCCTCGAAGAACTTGGTCTATGACGAGCTCTTGTATTGGTATACATCCTAACCCCTGGATATTATTACCTTGTAGGAAACTGATTGGAATTTTAATTCCACTTGGACGTCCTAGGGATGGCATTGTATCCACTTATCGACGAAGCATGCTACTATACTCGTGCTTATCCGAAGTACCCTGGCTAGACCTGAATAGATTGCCTCGGCCTCTTATTTTGATGGTCGATTTCTTCAGATCCGCCTCTTTTTGGATAGCATATATGAATTTATCGTTGTATATTAGCATGCTTGGAATGTAACCAAAGGCAAGGAACAGCTTCTTAATAATCGTGCCAAGATTTGGATAACGTTATAGCAGACTTTGAATTATATTCCGCAGCAGCATTAAATGATCCTCATGGGTGATTTTAATACCACCCTCATGTTCGATCCGCTACACATTAATAGCCATGATGTCCGTATATCCTTGAACACTTATATCGATCGAGATCTTCTTTAGCAATTGTTGAAAGCATAGGACCTGATTGCGTTGCATTGTAAATAGTAATATGTATCGACCTTTGAACATGGCTCCCATCATTCTCGTATTGATTATGTATTTGTTCGATAATATTAGGTTCAATTTCGTCGTATGTAACCCACCATGGATGGGAGTTTTATGCGCAATTTTGGATGTTACGGATCTCATTATATCTATTGTTCTTTATCTTGCCAAGGGGGTTTATGCCTCGGAAACCAGTGCTACTTCTTAATAACATTGATCGATTTGCCATCCGTACTGCTAGAATAGAATACAGTGCTCACTGGCAGCAGTTCGAGGTCCAGATTCGTCAGTGCATCGCTCGACACTCTACACCTCCTCCATCGCATTAGGTATCCATGCTAGATTTGGAACAAGAACTTCGGAGTATTTGTTCCAAAAAAAAACAAGAGAAAATCAAGGGTCCCTCATGCACCCCAGATTTCCTCCATGGCCGCCAGGATGTGGAATGCCCGCAAGCAGGCTCTGGCCGTTCGTGGTCGCGGCATTCGCGATCTCTTTGAGTGATGGGCTCATATCACCACCTTCCGAACCATCCATAAAGCTATTCGTAAACAGAGCAGGCAAAATAAGAGAAACAAATTACAACACATTCTCACTGAGGGTGCTGATCTTGCCCTTCATGGACGCATTTTTGACTGGTACCGGAAAATCAGGCTCCTGTGTCCGAAACAAAGACCGAAAAGAATTCAGCTCTTTGATACTCATGGCATGCCTCTTGCACCGAAACAGGAGTTGGAGTCAATCGAACGATACTATACATAATTGTTTGCTGATCCGAAGTTTGACGCCCGGGACCTCGAACCCCTCACCCGACTTCCCTTCGACCGCCAGGATGTGCTTACTGAGCTTCTGCACCTGCCAAGCACCAAAGGCACCGAATGGATTGCCAGCACTGATCTTGAAGCATTTTGCGCATGATCTTGTTGATCCTTTAATGCATCAGATTAAGCAGGTTCGGCTTCGATATTCCGTAAACCTTCCGGATCATTGGACAACAGGATGGATCCACCTCCTCACTAAACCGAATAAATCCCCAAGCAAACCCCAAGCCCTCAGACCAATCTGTCTTCAACACCCGGTCAACAAGCTTCTTGCCGGAATCCAATGCAGACAGATCATTCTGCAGACGTTCGACAGATTAAGACGACAGAGGGACACGTGAATGTTTTCTCATCGTTGCCGAACATTGCAGAAATGTACGCATGATGTGCAGGGCTGTCAAGACTGGAACTCAGCCTAGGCTGCTTGGAGGACTCCAAGTCTCATTAGATATGGACAAGGCTTTTGACACGGTCAGCCGCACCCTGGTGCTTCGAGCCTTGCAGCTGTACTATTTGGATCCTGACCTTTTTCAACTTGTGCACACATGGCTCACCCCCATAAGTATTGTATTCCCTTCAAACAGTTGATCGGACAAATCCATGCACATCGGGGAATCAAACAGGGAGCCAAAGATGCCCCCTTGCTATGGACCCTCACCATGAGCCTTGTACTTGTTGATCTCCAAAACAAATACTCCCCCACCTCTGGTGGATAATTCGATCAACAGCCCTGGCCCTTGAAG